TATCTAAATCCGCACATCGGGGGCACCTAAGGGGCAAAGAGATTTTCCTGCACATTTGGGGCAATTCCCAGATGTGCAAAAAAAATCTGAATCTATAAAAAACTATAGAGGGGATACTTAAATCCCCCCCAAAAGTAAAAGAGCCTTCCCAGTGCATGAACAGAGAATGCTCTGAGAACTGCCTTGCCGCCACCACCACTGAGGGGGTGGGAGAAGGCTTGGCGGGCCAGTGGCTGTGAGCCGCTCAGACCTCCTCGCCACTGCTGCTGGGAGGGAGGAGAGAGGGAGGGAGGGAGAAAGCTTCGTGGGCCAGCTGTGAGCTGTTCAAGCCTCGCCGCCACCGCAGCTCGGGTGGGAGAAAAAATTGGTGGGAGAAAAAATTGGTGGGCCGTCCTTGCTGCCTTGGGGACCACATGTGGCAAATAGTACATTGATGAGTGGAAACCCACAGTACTTGTGGAGCAATTTCCCCCCTCCCCCATCACTGCCAATTCCCTCCTTTGGGCTCAGTAGAGGAGCAGGGAGACTCACAGGGGAGGGGAACCCCATACCCCCCCCAAGGCCGAGCCTGGCATGGCTCCAGGCCCCACCACACCCTGGAATCTAGCATTGGCTGTCACTGCCAGCATTGGCTGTCACTGCCAGCATTGGCTGTCACTGCGTTTGGGCTAGAAGTGGCTGCCAGTGTCAGCTGCCGCCGTGTCCAGACCCAGAGCAGCAGCCAGTATCCTTCTCTGCTGTGGCTGGGCCTGCAGCAGATGCCAGAGTTCTGCCAGCGTTCTGCCGCCATCTTACCCAGGCCCTCAGTGACTGCTAACTTTCACTGCCTCCTGGCATGGAGCAGCTGCAGCCTGAAGCTGTGGATGGCAGCAGCCATTGCTGATGTCAGCTAGCTGCCATGTTTTACTTGCTTCCTTCTGTGACCCTGGCGCTACGGCGCATGCTTCATAGCTTGCTCGCTGCTCTGCCTGCTTGCCGTAAACAGCGATAGGGAGACCGTGTGAACCAGTGCTGCCAGACTGAGTTATCTGTCTAACCTTGAGATGGAGGGAGGGCTTGCATTCCACCGCTGGTGTGAATATTTCGGCTCTCACGGGGCACTGAGACTCTCCCACTTATTATGTAACCTCCCACCGGGAGAATTCCCGTGCACGCGCTTGGATTTCATTTGCTTATCCATTTGCCTCATCCTGCTATATGTAGGGATGCTTCCGCCGCATCGTCATTCCTAACAATAAACCTGTGGACATGGTAACAGACCTGTAGGCTAATAAAGCATAATGCTTCCCTGGAAACGTGTGTGGAGATTTACTTCCTGTTGAACCTGACAGCTGAACAGCAGCAGCTGCCTAAGCACATTCTCTGTGCATGCAATTCTAGAGAATGCAATTCTATTTTGGGGTGATTTAACCCCCCCCTTTAAAAACATTTGATTTCAGATTTTTCTGCAAACTTGGGGGACTCCCAAGGGTGGGGAAGGACTTAATCTATATACTATTTGTGACTTGTGCACATCTGCACATCTGCAAATATCTAATTCTGTAGATTGGGGCCACATGGATGCTAAACAGATCTTCTTTCAAACTTGGGGGAATCTTCCAAAGATTTGAATGCCAATGGCAAGGTTGGATCCATCATATTTTAATAAAAGCTGTGAGCCATTTCAAGAACCCCTGGTTGGAGGTAGGATATGAATACATTAATATTTCATTTAAATAAACAAGCTCAGTAGTAAATGTTTACAAATGGCTTTATTTTTCAGGTGATTACATCTTATATCAAATCATCTACAATACATTTGCTGTTTTACTCTCTCTCACACACACACACACTTTGATGCACAGAAATCACAAAACACATTTTCCATGGCCTTCATATCACTTGAGTTTTAAGGCATCAAATATAGTGAACTTTTAAGAGCTGAAAAATTAGCTTTTAATGGTCAGCAAAACCAGATGTGACATTCTTTGTTATGCGGAAGGCCATAAGACACTGTAATAGCTGTAATAATATTATGAGATAGTTTCCACAGTTAAAAAAATATGGCATATTAGCATGGTATTTGTTCAGAAGATTTTTGTTCTTCTAGCTTCGTCTTTGCATGATCTAAAAGTACACTCTGGACCCAGATTGTAATTATAGAAGGTTTAGGCAGCTAATTCTTTGGCTGTCCCTTCACTTAAGTCTCCAGGCTTCTCCTAGCTCTAACAGGTATATAATATTTTTTTTTGGGGGGGGGGGGGGGCAGAGAAGTTGTGGATTATTTCCAGAATGACATGATTTTAAATGGGACAGTCTAACCCAAATAAAAAGTATTTCATTCCACCAGAACAGAATTATAGTGCAGTCCTATACTCCAGTTATACTATTTTGTGGCCTGTGGGATCTCCAGTTAAATCCTTTGCCCTGATGTATCTTTGAAATCCATCAGTGCAATGGAATTATAGTGGTGTAGCATTAATACACTGGTCTAAACTTTCTGCTGTTGCTACCACATTGGAGTGAGGTCCAAAATTGGAAAGTGCTGGCGGCATTGGTGGTGGTGGGAATTTATTTGGGACCCTGAGCACCTCAGACCGGGGTTCTCCCTTAATGACAGCATGACTGACAAAAGAGGTAACCTAAGTGAAAAAGCTCCAATTGGGCTCAATGGAAAGATGAAAGGACTGCCCTGCCACTTCCCATTTCATCTCCACAGCTGCAAGAAACCATAGAATTCCTAACTACCTCTACTGCCAATCCCAGCACATCTGCAGCATGACAAGAAGGACTTGAACTCTATTCCCTGTTCATTGGCCTTCCAGAGTAACTGCTTTGCTAACCAGTTGAGTGAAAAGGGATGCTGGGCTAGATGAACTATGGGTCAGATCCAGCAGGGCCCCTCTGATGTTCTTAAATAGCCTAGTCTGATAACAATTAGAGTGTACTGCCAAAACTTATTTTTTCAGAACCCTTGCAAATATCCTACTTCAAGACAACATCAGCAACCTAACAGGAACGGCTACTGCACTCCTGCAGCTGGGGATACAAGAACAATCCTTGGTACACATGACAGCAAGGGATGAGGAACTTGTCTCTTATTGAAGGACCTCTACACATGTCCCCTGTGGCCCTCTCCCCTGCAGTACATGGTTTAGCGATCCTCCTCCCTGAGCAGCTCCAACAATGCCTCACAGAGGGGACGTAGAGTAAGTCATACCCTATGAAGTATTTGGAGTGGGAGGCTGTTGGATTTGAACCTCTTCATGCAAGCGATGTCCCACTGGAAGTAATGGAGGCAACATGGAGGACCTATCTGTTGGCAAATTTTAGCCACTTTCCCTCATCCACAGCTACTGCTGACTAAACACTCACGGCCCAAATTGGCTTTCAGGACCTCTGCCTGGTCCCCTGGATCAACACAAACTGCAGATATGGTTCTATGGCCACTTGCTGTAGGGGAAGAATAGAAGAAGAGGAGATTGGATTTATACCCCGCCCATCACTACCCAAAGGAGTCTCAGAGCGGCTTACAAACTCCATCCCCTCCCCCTCCCCACAACACACTACCTGCCTCACAGGTAGGGCTGAGGGAGCTCTCTGAGAACTGATCTTGAGAGAACGACTCTGAAGGAACTTATGACTCACCCAAGGTCACACCAGCAGCTGCATGTGGAGGAGTGGGGAATCAAACCCGGTTCTCCCAGATGAGAGTCCGCACTCCTAACCACCACACCAAACTGGCTCTCACAGCATGACTGACAAAAGCGGTAACCTAAGTGAAAAAACCTCTATTGAGCTCAGTGGGAGAGGGATGTAATCTCAGTGATCATATTTTCATTTTCAGTCAGTGAATCTTGAACTGCGTGTAGCGCCAAGGAGAAAAGGGAATTAGAAGAGTACTTTTCTGCCACATTCTCCCAGTCATTCACTACCAGAAAATAAACACAGCTATCTGAAATGGGTTTTTAAGATTCAATGCGATGTCCAGACTGTATACAGAGAGGACATTGTCACAACAAATTGAGAAAAGACTGATATCAGTGTTTGGATGTCTGTATCTGTGGACATGGGAATAGGAGATAATGTTAGAAGTACGTAAAAACATTTTTTAAATTTAGCTTAAGATATATTAACCTTTATCACACACATCTTTTACCTTCTTTAATATTGTCCATGGATATGTCCAGAGAATACTGACAAAACTTATTTTAATGAACTGTTTAAACATATCTGTGATGTCAAGTAATGTATACATAATTGGCATGGCTTGTTGTCTTTAATTGCCATGCCACCAAAGATCCTTGGTGTTGCTACATTTGAACATTCAGAAGTGATACGATTGGTTTATCGCATGTGAAGAGTCGAGAAAGATGGGACTCTTATCTGTTTTCTGATTGCCAACCTTTCAGTTACAGGGAGAATGGTTTATCCACTCTTCTGGACTAATGCCAGAGCTCTAGGCTAAGTCGGGCCTCTTCACCACCTGATCATAGAGCCCCCATGCCTTAACTAGCTGCACCCAATTTGTATAAAAAGACAGAAGAGATTCTTGAGATTCTAAGAGAAGTTCACAATCAATATAACAATTTCTCAGGGGATGAATATGGCCCACCAGCCATTTCTTATACAGCTCTGGCCTAGCTTGTAGGGACTGAAAAGCCAGAAATAAGAATTCCCAATGAAGTAGCAATGTTTCTTTTGCTTGTGAGTCATGACTGGCATGGATCATTCAGATAATATACTGCTTCTCATACACAGTAGAAACTGGGAATTTGGCATAAGTTTTTTTATGTATTGCTGCTCTCATATACAACACCCACAATTATTATGCATATTGGACTAATGGCTGTAGGTTGAGGCTAACAGTGGCCAAGAAGGCTCAGTTTGGTGTACAACTGAGAATAACCAAAGAGAAGCAAACAGTACTTGTGTGATGATGATGTGTGTGTTACCATCATCTTAATACATTTATTACTGAAAAGGCATTTTCTAAACAATATTATTTTTCCTAACACATCTAAAAGGCTGTCACCAGATGCCAATTATCAATGGCTTCGCTGAATACATTTCCCCATAGTTTTCTTACATGGTGAATCTGGTTCCTTTGTCCTGCCTGAATTAAATGAACAGATACAACACATTTTTAGATGCACAAACAAATCTGTAAAATGCTTTACTCTGAATAATTGATATATGCCTAACTTTTAAAACAAAAATACCTAGGGCAAACAAGTTAGATTCTTTACTCAAAATATGACTTCACATATTTTTGAGGTGGAGGGGAGCTCTGTTGCCTTAAGACAAGCCCGCACAACTTCAGATAAGTCATTTCATATTGTAAGGTCTTGGGAGCAGGAGCCTGTCTCACCGAACTCTGACAGGTGTCATGTGTATTGATGGTGCTGGATATTTAAATAAATAAATAATGATGATATATTGTCAAGAAGAAGAAGAAGAAGAAGAAGAGATTGGATTTATACCCCGCCCTTCACTTGGAGTCTCAGAGCGGCTTACAAACTCCTTTCCCTTCCCCTCCCCACAACAGACACCCTGTGAGGTGGGTGGGGCTGAGAGAACTCTGACACAAACTGCTCTTTTTCAAGGACAGCTGTGCCAGAGCTTGTGACTGGCCCAAGGTCACATCAGCAGGTGCAAGTGGAGGAGTGGGGAATCAAACCCGGTTCTCCCAGATTAGAGTCCGCACACTTAACCACTACACCAAACTGGCTCTCAAAAAAGTCAAATGCATTTCATCAGCTGGATACTATGACCTGTTGCTCATCTGATATCCCCACAGTACACTCTGTGTGTGTGTAGATCACCATAAGACAGCTGTGACTTGATGGCGATACACACATATATAGCCATCAAGTCACAGCTGTCTTATGGTGACCCCTAGGGTTTTCAAGACAAGAGGAGTTCAGAGGTGGTTTACCATTGGCTTACTCTGCCCAGTGACCCTGGTATTACTTGGAGGAATCCCATCCAAATACTAACCAGGGATGACCTTGCTTAGCTTCCAAGATGTGACAAGATCAGGCTAGCGTGGGCTATCCAAGTAAACATTAAAATTTCAGCAAAACTAGGGAGGGTTTCAATGTATGGTTGGTGACTGTGTTCAGCCTGGTGTGTCCCATGTTGTAGTAAGAGCACACTCCACCTGGCTCACTGAAAATAAACACAGTGCTCCTGCACAGCTGCCATTCATTTATAGTTCATAGGAGAATTTCCTGGCAAGCAGTATCCTGAAACAGGGGTGTGAACTTTAAAATGTTCTAGTTTTGTTTCATTAGTTCATAGAGGACATGATTATTTCTCCAAATCTGCGGGAGTCATGGCACTGTTCCAAAAATCTGTTTCATGTAAAGTTGATTTTTAGAATATCAGGTATTGGTCTAGAGGCTAGATCTACCACCTATTGGACTCAACTGGGGTAGACCTGGTCTCCAGAAGCCAGGTTTACTGCCCACTGAAAACTGTGGAGGGTAGCCCTGGCATCCTGTTTTCAGTGGGCAGTAGACCTGGCCTTTGAGATAAAGTCTGTCCCCACTTATGCCAACTTCCATTATTTTCATGAGTATTCAGATTTGGATCTATTGCCTCTTTTTAAAAGTGGTCAAAAACATGAAAAAAGCATCCCAGAATTTCAGGAGATAAATTTCAGGAATCCCTTGCATCATTTCAGTTATTTCTGATCTAAAATGAACAGGGAAATTTGGGCACTGTTTCAAACAGAGAATATCTGAAATCACTGCTTCCATTCCCTGAAGTTCACGTGACACTCAGTCAGAACCCAAATTGATCTCCCAACAGGCTTTCTGGGCATGGTCCTATCACCGTGGAATTTTCCCTCCCCAATATCACCTTACTCTACTTCCAAAACAGAAATTCTTTCTTTCCCTGTATTCTACAGTTTGAGAAGTATGGCCAGGGGAAAAGACTGGGTACCAGTAGAGAAGAAAGTAGGAGAATCCCTCCTTGCTCCTCTACAGTTTTGGAAGCATGGGAAGAAAAGTGGAATTTAATAATTTAATAATTTGGATATCACAGTGGTATCTCATAGCCCATTTAACCTTCTTCTAAGGCAGAATACTGTTCCTGTTTCCACAATCTCATAAACACTTTGCCACAATGATAAAATAAGCGAATTGCGTTGTTTTTTAAAATGTGTCTAGTCATTTTCTTGGGTGGCCCTGTAGGTTTCAAAACTGCAGTGAAAATAAATGATTCTGAAGCAGAACAAGACTTGTTTCCCTGTTCTCAAATATACCTTGGACTTACCAGCTTCTCACAAGGCACTTAAACTTTCCTGTGTCTAGCAGTACTGTTTTCCACACCATTGCTATCCTCTGATTTTCTGTAAGGAGACAGTGTTATATTAAACATAACAACTTAATGCTATTCATTATGCATTTACGTCACTTGATTTCTCTATATACTGGAAGATGCATGTGCAAACTAACTTCATGGGGAAGCATTGTATTTGATGTGATGTGACCTATACGTTCTGTCTGTGTGATCTCGTATAGTTTATTCACACATGCAAGTCACCACTTAACCCTGCTGTCATGTGTTAAACAAACATGTGGGACCAGTCTTCAGATTGCGATATATCTTCTATCTGAGAACCATGGTCATTAAAAATTTTTTAAAATAATCTGGAAATCATACTTTGCAATAGCACATATTAAGTCATACATATTAAGGACAGAGCAGTCCTCCCCCCATTAGCTAGAGTTAACAGCTGCAAATGAATGCCAAGTGAACACAATAGCAAAATATGCTTGGATTTTAGCAGAGATGTACATTATCCCATATCATTTAAGCATCACAACACTTTCTGTAACAAATACAAAATAAAATCAGGACTTACAGTTGTTCTGTTTGTTCAAATTCCTTTTCACCTTCTGTGAGACAAAGAAAATCTTGTGCTTATTGTGCTATTTTATTTAATATGATACTGTCTCAATAATAGCATTGACATCACCCTAAGAACTGCTGCAACCAGGATCCAGCATCAAGGTCAGAAGGCTTAGTTTTCAATGGTTTCCATTGAAGCAGTCTGGGGCATATTTAGGAAGTGCAGAAGAACATACTGGTAACTGCCTAGCAGCAAATTTGGTCGACTTTGAGGAATCCAAATTTAGCCATCCAGAATCTGACCTGCAGCCTAATGACGGTGCTCTGTCTGAAGGGAAAGGAAACCATGTCTTCCCTCCATTATTCAATTTGGCCACTATTGATTCTGGACCTAGAGTATCATCTACAACAAATCCCTGGTTTTTGCTAATGTTTGCTAATGTTTATCTCAGTTTTACAAGGAATCCATCAGTGTGATTCAAGCTGGAGAAACAGTCAGATAACTCTGGATTCCATTTATTCAAAAGGAGAGCAGCTATTGCTTTTTTGTTCCAGCATATCTTAGTGTCACTTGCAATATTTACTGCTAGACATAATCTAAACTAATTAGTCTGCAAAGAACTCCCTGAATTGTCATGTTAAATCTGTAATGTATTTTAGGTGGGACTTACGCCATGGCTTCTACCAAAAACAGTTTTTCTTT